AAATCCGTAAATCATTTAATCTATAATCCAACCCCAGCATCAGACTTCACTTTGCCCTTTCAACTTACTTCTTCTTGCTAACCGGGCATGCCATCAATACTACAGCAGAACTTGAACCTACACCCCAGTAAAACCCTGGCAAACATCAGAAAAATCCGTAAATCATTTAATCTATAATCCAACCCCAGCATCAGACTTCACTTTGCCCTTCCAACTTACTTCTTCTCGCTAATCGGACACTGGATCGGATTGGTCGTTACCAGTGAAAGTGGGTTTTCTCGGGGCACTCTAGTTCCCTCCCCCCCCATCAAAATTATTGGCATAGGATTTATAGATCCTCGCCGCTCTAATGCACCATCTGTCCTATATCGGCCGTTTACGTTTTACGTTTTAATTACCCTTTTTTAAGTTTACACAGCTTGTTTGTATTAATTTCCTGTTTTTCAATTTAAGCCCATACTTCTCGTCCACGCGCGGGATGAAGGAGAATTGCTTAATTTTCGAGCACCCCTGATTGTTAATTATTTCCGAGAAAATAATTAATTTTAAATCAAAATAACTGCCAGGAATAAATAAATAAACACACACTGACCTGAAGACGAAAGGCGGGAGACTTTTGAAACGTCGTCCTCTACATTTGTAGGTTTCTACCATAGGCAGTTGCTGTCCATTTGAAACTTAGATTCATTATGAATACTCTGCCTAAACAACCTGTCAAAGATTAATCAATTTCAAATTTCATATGTTTATTTCAACGTCAAGAATCAGTTTTGGGGACCAAGAAAATGTATGTAAATGTACCTGTAATGTGAGGAAGGTAGGATTTGTAAAAACGTCGGATTTCTCCATTTCACAACACAAGTTTAAATGCAAGATTAGCATATGTGACTCAGTAATTTCTCTAATAAAAAAAAATTCAAAACAGTGTTGACGATCTTTGGTTTTCTATCTTTACACAATAGTCGGAAATGTTAACCAAAATATGATTTAATTGACGTGATGAAAGTAAGAACAATCTAATTTTGGCATATGTACTAAATGTGATGGTTAATTGCAATTTCATGTGTGATTTTTGGTGAACTTGTTTTTGTTGTTATGTCCCCTAGTGGCACAGCGGTATGTCTGCGGACTTAAAACGCTAGAATCCGGGTTTCGATACCCGTGGTGGGCAGAGCACAGATAGCCCATTGTGTATCTTTGTGCTTAATTACAAACAAACAAACTGTTGTTATATGTAGAAATTCCGCGCAAAAAAATATACAAGTACTGCCAGCGCATCTGCGTCCATAATTTTGAACTGGTATACTGGAAAAAAATATCAGATAGTCAAAAGTATCCACTGCTGACTCTTGGGTTACCGGATAGTGAAACTTAACCATCACTCTGTTATAGCTCATCCACGGCCACTAAGAGCAGAAGACATTTTTGCTCCATTGGAAAGCGAACCACAAACCTTTGGAGTCACAGTCCTGGCACAGTACCAAAAGGGCACGCCAGACCTCCAAACCTTAAGCACACACAGAACTTTTTAAATTTTTCGTTAAACATCTATAGGTATTACTTTCCTCTCGCTACTAGTACAACCCTCGTTACAAAGTCACACCAGTTGCGCATTTCTTTATGATCCTGCGTTTGTGAATGGTTACGGACAGAATTTTCATGTTCTAGTATAACCACCACAGTGATTTTATTCTAAAAGTACGAAAGCAAATTCGCTGGGTAAGTCGCCATGAGATAAAATTAATATTCGATTTTAAGCAGTGTTCGTCATCAAAGTAAGATGTTCATCCCCCCTTCTAATGTCAATTAGATAAACAGATCACAAGAAAATGCCTTTTTCTTTCTAGACATTAATAAGTTTAGTTATCACAAAGAGATTTCCCTTCATTTTTGTGTTAAGTATGTTTTAAAGGGCAAACACGTATCAGTGACAAGATAAAAAACACAGACATAATTTAGTGTCTTGCAAGCGAAAACCACGCAATTAATTGAAAGCTCAAATTATATTAGTTTCTAGGATGTTCAAAAGTAAATTACCTTGACAGCTAAGTATCATGCTGATATACTGAATCACCTTATTGCCTTTAATACAAGAAAATTGCATGTTCTCTCAAATACCTTTTCTTCTTCACTTGTTAAAAATGTATCTTGAGCATAAAAACAGATTAACTAATGACTTCATCCAAAAGATGTAGCTATAGGTAGCAACGTAACTACTATTTTAAAGATTCGCACAGAGGGGATAACAAAGAAAATCTTACTTAGAACCCTTACTCTATTCCACGCCTTTGGAACATTTCATCAGTTTTTCTATCCGTCTAGATTTATGTCTGTCTGCACGTCTGTTTGGTTAGACAGATCGCTATAGCAACTCTGGGAAACCACGCATATTGTCGCTGTTATACGGCTGAGGGATTGCAAGTGTATTTGTTGACCCGAGTCTGTGGATATAGAGACAGGTCGGATATATGTGTGTAAGAAAACTAACACCTCACATGTTATCCAAAACCAAACACAATAAAACAGTAACAGCGCTAACATCAGATGTTTCACGCTGTACCTCCACTTGTTTGTTCTTTTTTAATATTCGCGTTTACCTATTGAAATTAGTGTCGCCTATCAGAATTTGCCCAGCGGATTGGATAGCAAAAAATGATATTTTCATAGCTTTCACCTAAATAAACAGATTTCGAGCAAAACGATCCGGAGAGGGAAGTAAGTCTGTAATATTACGGATAGGTAGGTAGATAGACTTTTGATTTTATTGAGGCATACGAAATATATATGGATATTTAGCCTAACGTATAAATAATACAAGCTTGTATCTTCTATCAAATATCTTAAATATTCCTAATTAGCTGGCGTATTTTGAACTAAACATATCTTGGATTGAAACTCAAGTAATAATACACTTAATTAAAAAAACTTTCCCTTTTGTCTTATAACCATTCAATTCTTTGTAAGCATTAATGAAAGCTTATCCGGTAATAAATGCCTTTTAAATAATGAATTTTTTTATGTGTTTTTATTTTATTTTTGCACAGTTCATCCTCAACAGATCTTGGGGCCCGTCGAGGAGTCTTTAGCCGCCGCCATTATGGATCTGTGGAGATGGTGAGTTTGTCTTTCTTGTGATATCAGTATTTCATTGTATTCCATAACGACTTATCTTTAACAAACACGAACAGTAATTGAAAATATGATTATCCCTACATGATAAGTCTGAAGGCTTATAACGCTAGAAATCGGGTTTCGATACCAGTGGTTGGCACAGATAGCTCGTTGTGTAGCTATGTGCTTAACAACAAAGAAACATACTCTACGTAAGACGTTTAAAAGTATATAATAAGCTACATCAAGTTCCGTTAAATTATACTTTAAATGGCAAAATAAATTAAAATCTATATTTTTATTCAGTGTTGTTGTTTGTTCCAGACTTAATATAAGTTTAGTTACATATATAGTTGTTAGTATGCGTCATTTACCCATGATGCAACTGAGAAAAAAAATATTTGTAGCAGTAGTCATCGTGTTAAAGTTTCATAACAAATTAAAAACATCTGCCCCAAATCATATCTAATTGTTCCTTTTAATATCACTGTTGTCTCTGTTATTTGGAAAATAATTCAAATATGACGTTTTCAAGCTAGTGGGAATAGGAAAGTATCATAGTAAATTAATGATAATTGACCCCCTAATTTTAGGCCAAAGTGATAGCTTTTGAGTATATAAGAAGACACAATTTACCATCTAGCATACTTAATGGTAATTTTAGGATCAATTATCTTAATGGATAATAGAATTTAAACGGACAAAAGAGCTCAACCTATAAATTTAAGCCTATAATTACAATCTGTGAAGCCCAATCTAGTGAAAATTCAGTCAGTCTTTCATTCATACAGTTATTCCAAACTGTTATTAAAGGTTTTATATTATCAGTGGCAGCTTTCCTCGCTCAGTTTAAATTAGTTTACATCCTGCTCGCTGGAACCAGATGCTTGATTTGAATGACCTGAAAATGGCAATGACTGCTGTTATTTGCACATACTGGGCTTCTGAATCAATATATTTAATTAACTTCTTGTCCATTACTCACACGTAACCATTGTATTAATTTGTTTAAACGAGAAAACAATAACGCTTTGTATCTATTTTGAATTTTATCTTGTACCACACATTATGCGACCCAAAGGCCAGGTCAGAGACCAAGCTGAGGTCAGGCATTGCCAACCCTAACTTAACATGTCCCTCAGAAGCCAAGAGGGGTCTTTATACTACAATTTGTTGAATATTAAAAATAAGTTCAATCCGGAAACTCACAAATAGGGTGGTTTTAGACGTCTCTTTTCGAGACAATTTCTAGACAAGTTTTTGTTTGTGACTGATAAAATTTTAAGTGAAATACAGCATCCTCAAGTCTCCATACTAGCTAGTACTAAGGTCTACCCGCTGGGAGTAAATTCAGTATATATCAATAAAGCCACATTCTCAACATCATTAATTAAACAATTGTTAACCTTTTTGCTTTTGCTATCATCTTTTTATGCTTAGCTTTCAATAAAGATTTCACCTGCAATTCGGAAGGGAAGGTCAAAGCATCACGATAGTCAACAGTGGGATAAGCAAACGGGAACAATATGAAAGCAGCTACTGGCATAATATTGTACTCGGCTTGCTATACAATATCTACCAAGGCTGTTCGAAACGGTTCCCGAATACTTTTACGTATCGTTTGGAGACTCCCATTCTTCTGTATCTGGTGTTTCAATCGCTATAACACAAGTTCATATTTAAAATAACACAATCATTGTGGGTTAACTAATAAAACATAACAAAATGTGTTGGGTGATTTCCAATCTTTGTTGAATTTTATGCAATCTACATATGAATAATAACAGTATTAAATTAAAGCATTTCATCACTTAAATTGAGTTAACCACTACATAAAAAACATTTTAAAATTCTTTGAGATGAATAGCGATTATTTTACACAATGTGCTACAGCTGAACGGTTCAAACCAGAATTCATCATAACAATGTGACTCCAGAATATAATAATATGTTTAAATAAACATAACTGAAAATTACACGTCATTTGTGTTGTTGGTAAACACTGAAACTTGTGTATTTATATCGTAACCGCAATCGATTGTGTTACAGCTCACGTTAATTTATGTTTGGAGAACATAATTTTAATTGTTCTAAAAATAACAACAAAACGTTTTACAGTTTAGTTATCGAATTATCGATGGTTTATTTTTGTCTCATATTCTTTAAGCATGGATGACGGATAGCCGTAAGTCAATCGAAAAAGCTTTCATTTTCACTCAATTTATATTACAACTTTTTGAGTATATATATATATATCGAACTATCAATGTGTATTTTCTTCTTGTCTCATTTTCTTGCAGTGTAGCATTTAGTTATTCGAAAATGTTTTCACATCCATTCACCTTTTTTAGAGCTACTCCAACATCAGCTACTGACTTCTCAGAAAAACGCACATATAACTTTACAAATGGATTACTCGGTCATTGACCCAAAAGTTTTTCTTTAGTAAGGCATAACAGTGTTGTGTTCAGTTATATGCGTGTATGAGTATACAATATTTTAACAAATTGAAATAATCTGAACAAAGATCCGTTTATTAAATAGCTTTTACATTGGCATCTTTCGGGTCAGTTAAACAGAAACGTTATAATAAATTTCAAACTAGTAAGATATATATATATATTAAGTAAAAAAATACACACTCACACATGAACAAAAACTATATATAGTATTTCATGTATGGAGCTTTATTAAGGCATAAAGTTACAAATTACAGTATTTTTATATATTCTCCCTTCATTTTGAGCTATATTTATAGAGTAAATACATAGGTCACCTTACACAGATTAGATGTTCATAATAACATATTTTTAAAGCTGGTCCAATAACTTGTTAATTAACTGAGTAATAACGATATCATTCCCCCTGTAATAAAACAAAATTGTTGGATGTATATATATTCATCTTTCAGGAAATATACAAGTTGTATATTGCCTATTGATTAATAACTGCTTATCAGTTACAGTTATCAAAAATCAATGAAAAATGTGCACAGAATATGAACGTATTGTCTAGAAGTTAATGCTTATGGATATTACATATCTTCTATGAAGTATATTATTTTCTATATCTTTCTACCTTGTTACGGTTACGTCTATTTATGTTCTTTAGTGACTTCTACATTTGATGTGGATAGTTATGAATCAGTAAGTTTCATTTATTTAGATTGTGAGAAAAGAAACAATAAGTTACAAATGAATGAAATATAAACTAAGCACGTTTTTTTAAAAAGTTTAGAAAAACATATTCTACCAAAACAACTAATATGTGAAGTTATCACCCGGCGTTAAACTCTACCAAAACAACTCATACGAGAAGTTATCATCCAGCTGTAAACTAATATAATATTTTTGTTCATTGACTTTTTTATTGTTTTATTTCATGTTGCTGTCCTTCAGTGTTCATTTTTCTGTATTGCAAGTTAAATTACAAGCAAAATGTTCGATTAATCTTAGTACTTTGTTACAAAGGCACTGCAAAAAAATAAAAGATATTACGGCCTTTTATAGTATTCAACTATGCTTATGAATCTAAAATACTTAAAATTTATAAGATACTTTAGATACAACATTTTGTACATCTATGTAGGACTATAGTAGATGCGATGACATTTAGCTTAATTTTGAAAAAATAAAAATGATGAAGCTTTGGAGATTAGTTGTTTATATATAAATTAGCACATTTATACAGTTGTAGAATTTATTTGCAATGGTGAGAGAAACAGATAACCAAATCTTCATATAAACACAAATGTTTAATAACAAAATTGTAAACATTCGGGTATACTTTAATTGCAGCTATTGGTGTTTCGGAACTCTCCAATTTGAATCTAGAAAGTTACATAAGAAAAATCAGTGTGAAAGCTCAATTACTAGAATTATATGCTTCTTTTAAATACCATATATTATCAACAAAAAACTATAATGTTCTTGAATAGGTATTAACACATAATAAAATGAAATTATAAAAAGCCCTTTAGCGGCATTGTCTCTTTTGATTTTTACATTTCAAGTATTATCCACTAACAATGTTCTTTTACATTTATTTTTCACAAAAATTTTAATAAATCAAATTATTTGATTGTATAAATAAAAAATTCTAACTCACTGAAACCAATATCAATTTTCTCGAGAGAATAAACCAAAATATATATTTCATTGTTAAGTGTTAATAAATAGTCCCCCGGTGAGTTAGCGGTAAGTTTACGGATTTTTATCGCTAAAATTCAGGTTCGACTTCCGGTGGTAGACAGAACGCAAATAGACATTTATGTAGCTTTGTTTAAAACAACAATAAATAAAAATAAGAAATATAAGTATTAATTAAAATATTTCTTGTTTGCTCAGATCCTTTTCAAGTTTAATAGTATTGTTTGTTTGTAATTAAGCACAAAGCTACGCAATGGGCTATTTGTGCTCTGCCCACCACGGGTATCGAAACCCGGATTCTAGCGTTGTAAGTCCGCAGACATACCGCTGTGCCACTGGGGGGCGTTTAATAGTAAATAGTAAATATTTCAAGAATTTTTTCTCGTGTAAATATTTTTGCTTCTATAGTAATCAAAACGGGTTGAAGTTTTTAGGTAAAGTGTAATTTGTTTTGTAAACCAAGATGTCTTTAAGATGTCATCAAAAACTCCTCTTTATTTGCTATATATTTACTCCATTAATTATTTAAAATAAAATATATATGTGACAATAATTTATAAATCAAGTGTTCAGTCATTCAAATGACATCTGAATTCCAATGTTTCTAAAAGAACAAATATAAAAATGGGAAAATTATTCTTTACGATTTACGTTGAATAACAAGATTTAAAAGAGATAGATCCAAGTGAGTTCAGCTATAGATAAGTAACAAAAAAAAAAGATGAAATTCTGTAAGTTTCAGGTGTTATGGCAATGCCGGAGATCTGAAAAAGTTCTGTCAAGTATTACAAGAAAATCAAACTTGTCTCTTGAGGGGTTTTACTTCCTCTAGTTTCGCTGCCTAATGTCTTACAT